ACAGTGTCACAAGAGACGGTTTACCGCAAATGCAGTCTCCTCGTGTAGGATATTACGATTGGTCATCTTGTCATTCTTCTCTTTATACCTTCCACAGTGCGCCTCTTGCCCGATAAGCGCGCTGTACTTGGCAGTCTGCAAACCCTAAGTAGCTCTTGTAATAGGTGTGCTTTCAGAATACGACGTGTTTATTCACAAATAATGGCTCAAAGCCTTTTCGAAGGAGACATGCGTTATATCTGACATATCATTTCTCAGAGTGATCTCGTGGGAGTGTCTGGCAAAGTATCCTCACCATAACATTGTGCGGTTCAAGAGGGTCCGCGAGGAGACTAGATGAACCGCTTCTCCGAAAACCTATTGCCTTATCCACTCTTTTCAGTGGCGCTAGCGGGTGTACCGCATCTACGATGCGTCAACGTCTTGGACTGACGCAGTTCATGCTTCTGCTTCATGGTACTGGGGAGATGCTTGGCTTTAGTATTTCCTCTCACGTACATAAGTACATGTTTTGCACTATCTACCTACTGCGCAGCTGGTAGTCATTGTTCGGAGCATCCGTTTGACAGCAATAAGAGACGAAAACGCTTGCAAAGGTAACCCCCCAGTCTCTTGGTGGATCCCGCGCCGGTTTCGCCAAGAAACCCAACCCAACGCCTTAACAAAATTGCGCGCGCTGGGGTGGGGGCCCCGGGCGCGCGCTAAAATCAAACCGGCATTACCTGCGGCTAGAGTATATAGGCAATTTGAAAGCCTCTTTTCGCGACCTAGCCATTCAATTGCGTTGAGGTTTAAATAGCATACGTAGCAGCCCGACACAGGTTGAGCACGCACTAGTCTGCACAAATGTAACACAACAGTTTCGACAAGGAGCCGATTTAAAATGACCGCAAGTTCAAATCCCAGGCCTGACAATTTTAAATCTTTTATTCATGTCACAAAAACCTAGCGGAGCGATGCAGTCCGGCAAGATTCACGCAATTGTGCTGTCTCTGAAAGTCGTCTTCGCCCGATTCGTGCAGCTCAGTTGGTAGAGCGCCCGCCCATCATGCGAGAGTGCGCAGGTTCGATTCCCACGGTTGGCGTTTTTCATATATCTTCGTAAAACGTGTGTGTAATGTTGGATTGCTAACTTCAGTGTGATTTTATCTCCTATTATCTGTAAACAACGAATAACAACGTCGGATGATGTATATTTGTGTTGCAAAATATTAGCTCGATGTTTTGTCAAGAAAAACGTTGCGTCAGAACACCGTGCGATGTTTTGAGAGGCATCCATTTCCACGATTGCTAATTTCTCGTGTGTATCCAAAACGTGTCGAACATTTTCTTGAGATAAGTATGTAACAAAATATATTTAGTAAGTCTCGTTGGTAACCTATTATACCTGATATCACTTTTTCTCTAGCTCACCACGCCTGTACACTTACTTGGCGGTTCGGACAGATTTTCTGGCCGAACCGCCCCAGCAGCAGTAATGCCTTTATTTGCTTTTTCTCTTCGTCCGTTTCTTTCATCATATGAGAAGTACTGCTCCATAGGCCTCTAAGATTGAAATGTGCATCACAAGTTAATTGCTATCACGGCAGTGCCGTTTTGGCTTCGAAGAAGCACGCTTGTGGCTCTCATTTTTCACCTAGCGTCCTCATACCTTCTCGCACCGGACCCTTGGTGGACGGGTGCAAGCGTTATGCGATATACACAGGTATACATCGCCGAGCGGGCAGGGCCCCAGCGAGGCGCCGAGGCACGTGGTAGGGGAAGCTACCCACACAACCCTATCTGACCGTGTGGGGGTATTTCGAAGCGATTTTTCCTCCTAGCCGTCAAATTTTCCCCAAACTTTGCACAATCGTCGGAAACCCCACCATTTGAAAATTCCCAAAGTTTCGTGTCATTTGATGTTCTCTAAGGCCTTCAAACAACCGTCTCAAGTCCGCGTTTGGGGAGACACGCGCACAAAAAATGGTGACGCGCGCGCCAAAAACCGCGCTCCGCTCAGTTTTGTCCATTTTCGCGTCGCTCCGCCCAAACGCGCTACTACTTGCAATCGTGCAATTCATGACACGCTTCGCTCCGCCCAAACGCGCAGATGGTAGTAATCGTGCAATTTCGCTCCGCCCAAACCGTCGATTTCTATGCTCGCACGCCGTTCCACACGCCACCGTCCTAATTGATTGTCGCACTATCAGCGGCATACGAGAGTCGTGTAAGGGGAGTCATTTAAGTTTTTTGTTAACACGGCAACCAAAAGCATGCCCAACGTCTGCGACCTGTTTGCCATATCACCGAACACTCAACACGCCACGTTCGCTATATCGTCTGCATCCGCCTATATGTACTGCTCAGCCCTTTGATCCCACATGTGTCTGGTTGTCTGGCATATGCAGTATCGCGATCGTCCGACATTCCACTACACGATAATATGTATCCTCACGGTCCGGGCAAGATCCCCACTTGTGGGGACTGCCCGGACCGCCACCGACTTAGCGCTTCTCTTCTTATGTGTTCAGACACCTCTTATCCCTGTTCAGTAGTTCATGCCCTTCAGCATCGAGCGTACGCCTAAATGTATTGCTGGAATCAGCGTAGCTTTCGCAATTCCCACTCGTTGCGTCATCGATGCACCAGTGTTTGGATGCCGGCGTCTACACGCATAGTCAACGGACCTCTTCTCGCGGCCTTTGGACGGTGGAGTCTAGGTGCAACCACCCACTTCGGGAGACAAGAGTCTTCCGCGAGCCGAATGTGTGGGGAGGGTACCACTTTTGGGCGAGCGCTAAAACCAACTTCCGGGCATCCCTGGCCGGAACCTATCGTGCTTCGGTTTGCCCATTGCTTACGCGATTTTCGCTCTCCACCGACAGATTTCGTTCAGACTTTCCAAATACTCTCCAACACTCACAAAAAGAGGAAATCTACTCAAAAGACTCTTCTGTACGCATTGGGGCCTCTGAAATAACTTAAAAACATCGTTTTTTAGCCGTCTCTCGCCTTGCTCTCTTACCTCGTTCCTGTCTCGTTTTCAGCAACTCACGTCTCCTGTGGAAATCCGGATCGCCCGGGCCGAGTGGAAATTGCTCGCTTATTCATGCAAAAGCGCGCGCCCACTCACAACAGACAGTGTCACAAGAGACGGTTTAACGCAAATGCAGTCTCCTCGTGTAAGATACTGCGATTGGTGATTTTGTGATTCTTCTCTTTATATCTTTTACAGTGCGCCTCTTCCGATAAGCGCGCTGTAATTGGCAGTCTGCAAATCTCAAGTAGCTCTTGCAATAAGTGTGGATTCAGAATACGACGTTTTTGTCTACAAATAATGCCTCAAAGCCTCCTCAAAGGAGACATGCGCTATATCTGACATATGATTTCTCAGAGTGATCTCGTGGGAGTGTCTGGCAAAGTATCCTCACCATATCATTGTGCGGTTCAAGAGGATCCGCGAGGAGCCTAGACGAACCGCTTCTCCGAAAGCCTATTGCCTTATACACTTTTGTCAGTGGCGTTAGCGGGTGTACCGCATCTACGATGCGTCAACGTCTTGAACTGACGCAGTCAATGCTTCTGCTTCATGGTAGCGGGGAGATGCCTGACTTTAGCATTTAATATCATGTACATAAGTACATGTTTTGCACTATCTACCGACTGCGCGGCTGGTATCCATTGTTCGGCGAGTCCGTTTGACAGAAATCGGAGACAAAAACGCCTGTAAAGGTAACCCCCCAGTCTCTTGGTGCAACCACCCACTTCGGGAGACAAGAGTCTTCCGCGAGCCGAGTGTGGGGAGGGTACCACTTTTGGGCGAGCGCTAAAACCAACTTCCGGGCATCCCTGGCCGGAACCTATCGTGCTTCGGTTTGCCCATTCCTTACGCGATTTTCGCTCTCTACCGTCAGATTTCCTTCAGACTTTCCAAATACTCTCCAACACTCACAGAAAGAGGAAATCTACTCAAAAGACTCTTCTGTACGCATTGAGGCCTCTGAAATAACTTAAAAACATCGTTTTTTAGCCGTCTCTCGCCTTGCTCTCTTAGCTCGTTCCTGTCTCGTTTTTAGCGACTCACGTCTCCTGTGGAAATCCGGATCGCCCGGGCCGAGTGGAAATTGCTCGCATAGTCATGGAAGAGCGCGCGCCCAGTCACAACAGACAGTGTCACAAGAGACGGTGTACCGCCAATGCAGTCTCCTCGTGTAGGATATTACGATTGGTGATCTTGTGATTCTTCTCTCTATATCTTCCACAGTGCGTCTTCCCCGATAAGCGCGCTGTAATTGGCAGTCTGCAAACCCTAATTAGCTCTTGCAATACGTGTGTTTTCAGAATACGACGCGTTTATTCACAAATAATGCCTGAAAGCCTTCTCGAAGGAGACGTGCGTTATATCTGACATATGACTTCTCAGAGTGATCTCGTGGGAGTGTCTGGCGAAGTATCCTCACCATATCATTGTGCGGTTCAAGAGGATCCGCGAGGAGCCTAGACGAACCGCTTCTCCGAAAGCCTATTGCCTTATACGCTTTTGTCAGTGGCGTTAGCGGGTGTACCGCATCTACGATGCGTCAACGTCTTGAACTGACGCAGTCAATGCTTCTGCTTCATGGTAGTGGGGAGATGCCTGACTTTAGCATTTCCTCTCATGTACATAAGCACATGTTTTGCACTATCTACCGACTGCGCGGCTGGTATTCATTGTTCGGCGAGTCCGTTTGACAGAAATCGGAGACAAAAACGCCTGCAAAGGTAACCCCCCAGTCTCTTGGTTTGACAATTTTTGAACACCCGGTTAGGTTTTCACCTCCTACCCCACGTGCAATATGCGCTCATGGCGAGCGAGATTACTACCGCAACATAGCGAACATCATCGAAGTCGAAAACTCACCTTTCTCCATCACACTAGCGATAAGCACGCTAGGAACTATCTGGGAGCTGCTTGAATGAGTTTTCTGGCGCGTGGGAACTTTGTGCAACTCTACCAGGTCTATTATTCCTGTGTAATTATGTCCAGCTCACCAAAGGAAACTATGATGCCTGAGAAAGCCGATGGGAGGGAAGAGGAGGAGACCAATTTAACCAACCGAAAAGCGGAGGACGTCCCCAGATGCCCATTCTCAGGTAGGAGGCATAGTTTTGTGGCGCAGTGACGTTTCTCTCTACAGGCCTCGCTGCTACTGATGGTGCTAAATGCCCCTTCAGCGATATGACTGGCGACTTGCCGACTCTCCCTAGTGATAGTAGCAAGGGAGATAGTCTTATGTAATATAATAGGGAAAATTGGACAGGAACACGATTAATTGAGAAACTACTTGAACATCTGTGAAATAGTTAAATCACTTCATCAGTCAACTTTTACGAAATGCATTCGAGTTGATTTATTTTTCATAGTGCGTTTCTTACTTCCCGATTCTCGTTGATTGAACTGCTCTGCATCTGCACTACTCATATGTCGATTCTCACAATTCTGTATTCGTTGATAACATAGGTTTATTATAATTTCGTATTATTCTCACTAGAGGATAATCAGCGTGATTCACTCGACAGCTGTGATATTTCGCTTAGCTCACCCCAGCCAAGAGCATACGATTTCGGGTAGATGTGTTGAAAAATCCAACATGAATTTTCCGGAAATTTCTCAGAATTTCCACATTTTCATGGAGTACTCGAGTATTTTTCCTCTACTAGGTGGATGCTCTGTCCGGCTCACTGGTCTCCCACCATTCTCGCAGCGATTGCTATCACTGGTGCGCTGTGCGCAGTGGGTCTGATCTCAATGAGGTATCGAGCGTAGAAGTATTCAATCTGTATAAAACAACTGATCTGCTGAATATCTCTTGAGGTTTTGCGTTATACATTGCGCGGCGATTGTTTCCAGTCAGTTTTAATGGCTGTTGATTTTTCACACAAACGTCGTCAGCAGTCGGGAGGGGAGGAGGAGGCGACCACAGAGCGTGACGGTTTGCTCAAAGTCTCCAGAAAGTAGTTCTGGGGAAAATGTAAAACGTATTATTATAAACGCTTTGTGTGTCTAGGGAGTTTACTTCTGACATTTTGTGGTATTAGAAATGGACGTTATAGTCATTGGCTATTTTCTGATGATTAGGCTAGAGGAAGGGAATCAGAAGTTGGAGGATGCTAAAAGGACAGTATTGGAGACTGAAGATGTGGCCTTGGGAGTCATGCGAGATTTAACGTGGGGATGTGGTGTAGTGGTAGAAGTATATGCTTTCTATCGTGTGGTCGCGAGTTCTAATCCTTCTAGTGATGTTTTGCCAGGGACCAACGAGAGGTCATCAATCAGACGAGAGAGCATTTTAGTGATCTCGACGAGCAACTGACTCTGGCCCGACGAGCCATCCAAAGCATTACACGAAGGGTGATGCTCAACAGGGCTGTTCTACTAGCAGTGTGTTTGGTTCTCCTCACTGCTGTGTTTTATACAATTCATAGGAAACTCATGGACAGAGCATCGCTATCCAATATAACATGATTATGATGATGCTACTACTTGCTGACTTGTTCCTTGTGTTATGAGCATCTGTACTGTGTTATTTGCAGAGTGTTTAGAGAAGCAGTTGGTCGTTTCTCAAGAATGTGTATCAGAAGAAGCTTGTGGAACAATTTAATGTTTTGCGGAAATTTCCAATAATTTACCTACTTTTTCCAAAAAATTCTAATTTTTTTTATTCTTTACCAACTGTTGTTGATTAATCAACCTGAGTAGCTGATCGTTTTGATGGTCTCCTGTTGCGAACACACCACTGTCTGCCTCGTTGAGCATATGAAAGAATTTCGTGGCGCGTGACGGTGACTAGATGTAGATAGTATGATGTTGTTGATATTCGACACCCGGCGCCCTCATCAGAGTTGTTCCCATTCCTCTTCCTTTTCCTTGTTTATAAAGCATCCTCGTCATCATCATCATCGATGCCGACTGTATCAATACAGTTACGGGAAGGATCAGAGCCGTCATCATCATCAGATATCCAACAACAACAGCAGCAGCAGGAGGAAGTCACTTTCAGAGCTCCTACTAATGTAATAATAATTAGGAATAGTAATAATCGTAATAATACGGAATAACTATTCTCGCTTGAGTTCATGTTGGTGGTATTCTTTGGAGGAAAACTTCTTTCTTTCTTTGAGAAGTTTTTTTGTGATTTTCTCGTATTATAGAATTCGAGATTTCGAGCTGAGTGGTGGGGGATGGGTATCTTTGCGCACAGCGAAGGTTTTTTTTATTACGCAGGTTTTAAATTCACAGCTCGATCGTCTTTGGAGTATGCTGACTGAGCATAACGGACAGCTTGCTGATGTATGGATCTATACTGTAGAATATGTGGGCGCGCGGGCGAGCGTACTGCCGGCACATAAGTAGTATGCGAGAGGTCTCGGGTTCGATCCTTGCAGGTGTCGTTTTTAGGTGTATTTTAGCTGCCGGGTGCCCTGCTTTAATTAAGAAGATAGATCCTAGACGAACCAGTAGTTGCACTACTGCTGATTCCAGTTCTGAAGATTTTGGAGAAACGAAGAAAGTAAATTCGGACGAATCAGCAGAAGTGCGTCGATTGGATTTTACGGACGTTGCTCCGACTTGGGCTGTATCGTGCTTGTTGAGGTAGAAAGTGGTAGTTGGCGGAGCGAAGCGATTCATGTTTGGCATTTTAGGTATATATATGGTCAGCCTGTACATGTTGAACCGGAGAGGTTGAGCGTGTTGTATATGCTTGCTAAGGAAATGCGGTGTGGAGGGTTGGAGGAAATATGCAAACAGAAAATTATTGATTTTCGGGAAAAATTAGTAAGGAGGGAAAAATTTCCCATATTTTTTTGTGAAAAGGAAAAATTTGTGCTCAACTTGGTGTGATGAGCGAACTTTTCTGCGGAAATTTTCTATCTTTTTTTCGTATTTTTAGGAGAAGTTTGACAGCGGAGGAGAAGCGCTAGGGGTCGGAAAGCGGCAGAGATCGCCTGAATCCGACAGCAGTACTAACAACCACATTTGCACGCGTGCGCAATGTAGTATTTTATATTTAGGCGTTGAGCCAGAGTTGGCTGAGAGCTCCGTAAAAGCGTCAACTTCATCGCAATTCTGTAGTGGGGGAATTTCTAAGGTTGATGAAAGCACGAGGGTACGGGGTTGGAAAATATGCGGGAAATTTTTTTGTGAAATTTTGGGGAAAATTTGTTTTTGTGGTGCGTCGAGTGGCTCGAACGATATGACATAAATTGAAATTTGGTATGTGAAATTCGATGGTGGTTTTCATTCGGCATTTTTCTCATATAGTGGAGTTTCACAACAACCCGTTTCACGTGAAGTGGCGTCGTAAAACTCGGTGAAAAACTAGGCGATATTCGCGGTGATATGCAGTAGTCGTGAAACATGTTTTCAGTGTATCACTAGGGTGAAACGCCAATAATATTTACAATTTGTGAAATATTTTTCGGGAAGTTCTGGGAAAATTATGGGAAATTCCTTCATGTGATATCGTTTGCATACAGTCGAAAAAATCGGAAAAACCATCATCATCGAAAATCTCCAGAATTTTTTTCGATGGCATTTTAATAGAAAGCGTGCTTGGTTCAGGTTGAATCTGTCCAGATCGGCCCGCCCGACGAAGGTCCGCAAATTTGTGGCGCAGTTACGGAAGGAACCGGGATGAAGGCTGATGTGAAAAGCTCGAGTAGTGATAGTTTCCTGGATATGGTAGTGATATTGGGGTTTAGCGGAGCGAAGTTTTTTTGTTTTCAGATCCGAAATTCAGGCTCGTTACCTCAGCTTGATCGAGGGCGAATGATCAGCACTCCTGGAGCTTTCGACAAGAAGTAAATTAGCAAAATTATCGAAATAATATTTATAAGTGTATCAACCATTATTCATATATATCGTATTTATAAAGGGACTGATATCATCTTGATAGATTAAAACGTATATATGTATGATAAAATGTCAATAATGAGATTAGATTATATATATCTGTATTTCATATTACCATTATATATTGGAGTTTCATCCTAGTGATATGAAAAACACGAGTGAAAAACATATTTCACGACTATTGCAAGGCGCAAATATCGCGTTTTTCACGGAGTTTTACGCCACTTTACGTAAAACGGGTGAAACTCCATTAATTTCAGATACGAGTTGATCTCGTCAGAAGATGGTGGCATTTTAGGAGAAGGAATGAACGGTGCAGTTCGGCTGGCTAAGGATAGGATCACGGGAGATCGGGTCGGTGTTACTACACCTTAGGAGTTATGGAAATTCACACACGAAAATTTCCGAGAATTTTCGTATTGTTGCGAAAAATAAAGGAGTTACTGCTAACTTTTTGGGAAAATCTGATGCATTTTTTTTTGGAGTAAAAATCCTTGTAAAATTTTTTTTTGGAAAAGATACGATTCGGCTTCTCGTCGCGTTTCGACTTGTCTATGAGAGTTCTCGTGATTGGATATCATTTTTCGGGAAATTTATTTTTTGGGTTTTATTTTTCCCCCGTAAGTAGATGCTGGTATTTCCAGGGAGAGTCAGGATGTATTGTTGGATTTCTCGCGAAAAATTCTTTGGTATTTTTCGTGTCTACTTGCAACAATGAAAATCACCGGCAATTTTTTCCGCTAGAAAAACGATTTTTTCCTAATTTTCATCATCGTGAAGTGGTGAAATACTCTGTGAAAAAGGCGATATTCGCGGTGATATGCAGTAGTCGTGAAATATATTTTCACTAGTGTTTTTTTCATATCACTATGGTGGTGAAACTCCAGTGATGGTATTCGCCATTTCAGGTAGCGGTTAAATTCCTGAGTCTGCATAACCTGAGCCCCGTCAAAAGGGATATGCTCTACGACGAGATTAATATTTATTTGCCGTTGTCGCATCCCAACATAGTAGGAAAAATGAAAATGGTAAACATGAATCGCTTCGCTCCGCTAATAATAATAGGTGCTTTTGAACGAAGTTTATGAAGAATTAGGAGAGAGAATTATTCTGGTGATGGAAGCTTGTACCGGTGGTGGGCCTATTTTGTATCCAACGTTTTGGGCAGGAAAAATATCTTTTAGGTGAATTATACGAGCGACTCGCCAAATTGAATCGTTACAGTGAGCGCGACGCGGCCAAGATTTTACGGCATATTCTTTACGCTGTGAGCTACCTGCATTCACTGAATATCTGCCATCGCGATATAAAACTGGAGAATTTTGTGTAAGAAAAAAAATTGAAAATTTTTGGAATTTTCGGGATTTTTAGGTACACGGATGATACGGCAGATGCTCGGCTGAAACTGTGCGATTTTGGTTTTGGGACGATTGTGCATCAAAAAGGCGATTGCCCTTTGACGGCTGCTATGGGATCGGTAAAAATTTTGCGAAAATCTTTGCGGGAAAAAATGAAAATTTTATTTTTCTTTGGTTGAGGGTAAATTTTGTTTGGAAAATGGAGAATTTCCCCCCAAGAGGAATTTCTTTTTTCATTACTGCGAGAATTGTGGTATGAACAGGTAAAATATTTTTGCCATGTCAGATTCATTATGTAGCTCCGGAGGTCCTTGAGGGAAGGTATGGCCTCCAATGCGATATGTGGTCGGTCGGGGTTATACTGTATATGCTGCTCAATGGCACACCGCCGTTTGATGGTGCTGATGATGGTGAAATTGTAAAAAAAAATTGGAAAATTTCCGGAAAATTAATATTTTTTCTGAGTAGGCTGAAGCTGTTCGACATGCACCGTTGAAATTGAGCGGATCTAGATGGGACGGTATATCTTGGAGCGCAAAAGATTTAATACGAAAATTGATATGTCGGGATCCGTCGAAAAGATTGACGGCGAGGGAAGCGCTGCAGCACGAATGGTGCGGAAGTAATATCGCGGAGGTTCGATCCGCGGGGGCGACATTTTTAATTGATATTTTTTGGAAACTTGTTGAGATTGTCATTTTCTATGTGGCATGTAACGATTGATATTTTATGAATTTTTAAAATGGATAATCGAGAAAATTCGGGAAAATTTTAATGGAGTTTCACCACCCTAGTGATATGAAAAACACTAGTGAAAAACATATTTTACGGCTACTACAGGGCGCGAATATCGCGTTTTCACCGAGTTTCACGACGCCACTTCACGTAAAACGGGTTGTTGTGAAACTCCAATGTAAATTGCATTATCGCAGTGTGCGCAGTAGTATACCATATTGCAAACTTCAAACGTCTATCAATCAAAGAAGGAATACTTTTCCGGAGATCTGTAATGTTGATGATGTAAATTTGCGCAGCAGTTTATCAGAAAATATAATGGAGTTTCACGGCCACCCTAGTTATATGAAAAACATATTTCACGACTACTGCATATCACCGCGAATATCGCCTAGTTTTTCACCGAGTTTTACGACGCCACTTCACGTAAAACGGGTTGTTGTGAAACAATGATTGGCACTTCGAGGAAAGCAGCAGCATATGAGACTAAAAATTTATACATACTACAGTGGAGTTTCACAACTCGTTTAACGTGAAGTGCAGCAATATTCCATGTGTATGTTTCCGTAACTGATAACACAATGGTTTTTTCCGCGAAGTGAAATATGTTTTTCAATTGTGTTTTCAAAATTACCAGTGAATTTCCAAAATGGACGATTGGGAAAATTCAGAATTTTTTTGGCATTTTTTTCCAGGTACGGATATATTGAAATTGAATACCGCGCCGACTGAAATTGATACGGACATTCTGAGGACGATGCACGCCTTTACGAAATGCTCGGCAATACAACGGGTAACGCATTTTGTATGTTTTTGAAAAATTTTATTTTCGTGGAGGATGGGATTTTTTTTATCAATTTTTTGTGTTTTTGTACATCTTGTGAAGAGGATAACAAAGATTTCTCGAAAAAGTTTTTTTGGAAAAAAATTTGCGTGTCGTGGGTAATTTTGGTGATTAAATTTTACGTAAAGTTCTATTATTATTTACCCACGACGAGAAGTATTAATATTTTTAACTTGTGTGATTTTTGGGATGATGTTGGGACATTAGATTTCGACAAGTGAGTTTTACATGTAAAGTTTGAAAAAAATTCGTGAGGTTTGCATGAAATTTATCATTTTCATTCACCCGCGAGAAAAGGTAGTTTTTGAGTAGGATTAGTTCACTGGAGTTTCACAACCCGTTTTACGTGAAGTGGCGTCGTAAAACTCGGTGAAAAACGCGTAGTCGTGGAATATATGTTTTTTTTTTCACATATCACTAGGGTGGCCGTGAAACTCCAGTGGTTGTCGTGTTCAGGCGGCTCTGGGTTTGATAGCGCAGAAGAGAGGAGATGAGTTTGAAGGGATTGATGAAAATCTGAAGTCGATGGAAGCGGCATTCAGGAGAATGGATACCAATAACGATGGTAAAAATGGGGGGATTTTTTTGGGAAATTTCTGTGAAATTTCCGTGGAGTTTTGACGTACGAAGATTCTGAATCATGTTTATTTGTTGTTAGTTTGTCGGTACCTTTTGTAATGTGAACACGTCATTGGAGTTTTACGTTTTACGTGAAGTGGCGTCGTAAAACTCTGTGAAAAACACTATATTCGCGGTAGTCGTGAAATATATTTTTCATTAGTGTTTTTCATATCACCAGCTACGTGTGAAACTCAATATTTTTGAAGTCTATATGGACGAATCTTAGGTTGCAGCTGATAAGATACGGATTAGGTCCAAAATTTTTGGGTATATTTTTTCTTTATTTCAGGAGTGATAACTCTTGCCGAGTTTGAAGACGCAGTGCGATCGCATGTTGACATGAGCGAACACGAAGCTGAGAAAATATTCGGGGAGATCAGCAGCTCGAGTTCGGCGGTAGGGGGTTTTAATATAAAGGAGTTTCACCGGTTTTACGCCGGTTGGTATAATAGTTTTTGTGAAAAAGACGATGATATGAAGTGGATTGGTAACACTTCGCGAATGTTATCGGACAACACATGAAAAATATGTCCCTTGTTTTACGCGTTTTACGCGAAATGAAATGTGGAATATATTTTCCACTAGTGTTAGTGGAGCTGCATTATTCGCAGTGCGGGTTGGAAGAATCTTTTTCTCTGTGACATGCGTGCGGGGCACGAAGATATTTTTTTTAGGGAACAGAAGCGGAGCGAGTGATTCACTATAGAGACTTCTTGGCAGCAACTGTGTATTCGTTGAGGAATAGGGAAATTGATGGTAGGCCTGATGTGGACCTAATCTGTATCTTGTTGTGGGGAACCTAAGATACGCCTCGTGAATCGAGCGGCGACGGCGAGGTATGGCGGTGGAATTCGGATGATATTCGAAGCGCCTACGAGGCTTTTGATGTTGATAGGAAGGGGTGGGAGAATGTCGCGCGCCACGAAATTGGTGATGAGGTTGAATTGTGTAGATATGTTACTAAAGAAGATCTGTTGAATGTCCTTGGGTGTGGTGGTAGAGAATTGAAGCGAATATTGGAGGCTGCAGGGTTCGATCCGGGCCGAACGCACAGAGTAGATGTCGATGATTTTTCGAGGTAGGCATATACCGCCTTATCATCGCGATGAAATTTCATGATTTTACCAAAAAATCGCATGAAAAAAAATCAAAAATTTTGTTTTGTTTTCTATGATTTTTCTAGTGATTTTTTCATGATTTTTTGATGGTTTTTTTATGAATTTTTCGGATTTTTTTAATGATTTTCATGTTTTTTCTCTTTAGGTTATTGAACTGTTCGATGGGAGGTATTGTGGACTTCCCTCGATTGGACAGCACATCTGAAGCGGAGTTGTTGAAAGACACTAAGGTGACCTATTTTGTATCTTGTGTGCTCAACCATAAGATACGTTTTAGACGGCTGAGCTACTCGAAAGGAATGCGTATCTTGCTGGGCTTGATGAATATGATGAAGGCCTTCTCGTGGCGAATGGTAGTAGTAATGGTGATGATGATGTTGGAAACAAGATTTTTTTCTGCTGTGAATTTTTCGATGGTGAAAGCATTTCATGATGTGGAATTGTGGGGAGAAATTTCGTGGGAAAATTTCCCGAAATTTGCATAATTTTCGTCGAACAGTTTACGTGGTTGACAATATACGCATGTCGTAGGGGTTGGGGCGAAAAAAGTATTGATAGCAATATGCATTCTTGCGGTTGGTTGGGTGTCCTGATATATAATGGAGTTTCGCAACAACCCGTTTTACGTGAAGTGGCGTCGTGAACTCGGGGAAAAACTAGGCGATATTCAACGCGGTGATATGCAGTAGTCGTGAAATATGTTTTTATCATATCACTAGGGTGGCCGTGAAACTCCAATGTTTACCTTTAAGTTTGAGCTCTCCTAGTAATGGTATGTGTAAGTAGAAAATTAGTTTTGGTTTTTTGATTTTACATACTCACGAAGGAGTGTATTATTAGTAGTACCCTATTCAGGAATATGTGCGACTTCTCCTTCTCCTGGTGGTGGTGGTATGATGATGCTACGGCCGAGCCGACGACAGTCTGATGATGATGAAGGGTCTGTGGAGGTAGTAGGGAGGAAGGGAGGGAGGCCTTTTGAAGTGGATCTTTGTTGTTGTATTATTAGACCTTCTTAAGAAGGATGAGGACTTGGCCGTTGTTTTATCCACTTTACCGATCGTACGCATTGCTGCCTGGTTATAGTGATGATGGTTATTGTTATAATTATAATTGCTAGTATTACTCGAAATTTGCTATTTTCCTTACCTGCTATGTTCCTCATATGATACTGTCACCATTTTAGTACAAATCGATCAGCTGGGCGCGCGCTACATGCGTTGTCGATCTCTAGCTGTTTTGATTATTCAGATTGCTGTTTCTGTGTATATTTGTAGTCGGCGGAGCGAAGTGGAAATTATTTACATATTTTCGTACTGGAATAATTAGAGTGGGTCGTTAGGCTGCCCTGAAAATTTCGCGCACGCCGCGGAAATATTCAAATTGGAAATAGTTTTCGTGCGCCGCCGGTGAGCTCAAGCTGTGGCTATTGTTGACTGCTGTTATAATTTGTCACGCGCCACGAAATTATGCTGCACTGCATCGCTATTAAGACCATCGCTAGTCGAGCGAGATTATTGTTGTTGTCGCGTGCTGCTGCTGCTGCTGCATACTACCACTCCTCCGCGAACTGGTGTTTGTAGTTATAAAGAGGCTGTCTGTATTGTTGTATATGATTGACTCCTATCAGAGTTGCAGTGGATAGTAGTTGGTATGAAAGTATTTCACCTTCTCCCAGTAGTGATGGCATCCAATTGAGTTTGTAAATAGTAGCTTTTTATAGAGGTCGAGTAGGGCAGTGCTGCGCTTCCTCCTTATCAGGTGTGTTGTGCTGCTGCTGGGGAAGGGTGCCAGTCGTATCATTCAGTGATGAGTTGCAAGAAGTTTGGTATGAGCCCATCATCCCCATCGTCGCCTCCTGTTGCTGAGGATTCACCAACGGATACGTTGTTGAGAGGATTGAGGATCCACGAAAGGTCTGGAGATATGACGCCAGCAGCAGCGTTGGCGTTCTCCCATATGGAAGAGGAATTGGTGGAGAGAATACCACCAATGGTCGGAGTGTTGAGCGGCGGTGATGGGGATAAGATGAGTAGCAGTTGTCGAGGTGGTGGAGGAGGAGGAGGACAACAGCAGAGAAGGATAACGAGGATACATAGTATTCCATCGGAATCGTAATATTTGGATTTTTTTGGGAAAATTTCGGGAGTTATTGGTGGATTTTGGGAAAATTATGCAAATTTTATGATCATTTTCGTCGTGGTGGTTCTTGCTGAGAAGGTCTGCGAGTAGTACCGCAATATCGTATAAGAATTAGGGAGAGCAAACAAAGTGGTTTGTGTAGTAGGAGTGGAGTTCTTGATATTTTACAAAAGGCTTGGAAAAAGGGATCGATTTGCCATGTGTAGTTGTTTTATGTGGAGAATTTGTGGTTGGAGTGTATAATCGTGCGTAATTAATTCCGATACTCAGATACCATGTTTATCAAGCGCCGATGTTCCACCAATTAGTGTTAAAACCGTTTTATCAGAGGCATCCTATATCGAATGTCGTGATGGGGTTGGTGATGGGAACCTCTACGTAATGATTGTAATATTAGATTTTCATTCACGGAGAGTTCAGATATGCGCGTAGTAGCATCGAGGAAGGGGTGGGTCGCCTCATTCGCGCGCCACACCTTCACAGTGGAGGCTTCATTTTGATACCAAATCCGAAGTTCCATGAGGAGCCGTCGGTTGTCGCGACGATTGCGAGGGATTTGCGGAGTGGACATGGTAATATTTTTTTTATTTTTCGCGGAAATTTTTTTTTCCCCTAAGAATTTAAAGGGATGGTCATTCATCTGAGGTGACGTTGAATTGCGGTCTACAAAAATTGCGAAGCGATGCAAGCATATATTTCTAGTTGGTGATTCCCCGTATGATGATCCGATATTCGAGCTCTGCTGTGAAACTACATAAGTTGGTTTACCGGTGGACTATTCTGAATAGTGGAGATGATGTATATTGCTGAGAAGATATGGGTATGCTCATACCACCAAAATGTATTGACAAAAACAAATAATAATTGTAAAATAAAATCGAACTCGGAGCGATCACAAATATGTCGACCTCCGTTTCGAAGGTGTAGTGTCAATCACTGGGGAAGTGAATTCTCTTGATGATTTCGGAAGATGTTGGGAAAAAGTTACTATTGAGTTTGATACCTACGACGATGAAGTTAGTATGTCCTAAAGTCTCCTCACTGGAAGTTTACATACGAATTTGGGTAGAAGTGTACAGAAAGCTATGAGAATTTGCGCAATTTTCATCCTCGAAATTTCCGCAATAGCAATGATATCATCATAGATTTAAACTTGTTATTATATTATAAGTATAGATAGAGTAAAATCACCCTTTTATATATTATATCTTTTATTAGTTTATTTACATATATACAAATAATCATATTATAATACAAGATATATATTATTTATTAGTAAGCCGCTTATGTATGTAGTTGCTCACATGCATATTTCCCCACCCTGGCATAGTATATAAACATATATGACAGTTATATGAAGTGTTATCCATATTTTGTTGTTGTTGTTGTCAGGTTTTGAATCGGCCTCATTCCGTTTTGTGGTATGGTGGATCCCCGAGGAGTTGTGGCATTTTGTTGAGGAGTGGGTTAATCAAGTTGTCAGTGGAAATGAGGAGGAGGAGGATGAGGAGGGGGGTAGTAGTACTAGTGTCTGCTGGGTCTATGAATTTGAAGTTTTATAAAATCCAACAAGATAAAATCCAACATGATGAAGCCCTAATAATCGTTGAGGGTGATCAGCGAAGTTGACCAATTGTTGGTGTTGCTTTCGTGAGCTCGTGAGACGGTACTACTTAAAATGATATGTTGTGGCTGTTATTGCAGGGAAAGTGACTCGTTTGTAGTTTCATTGGAATTCTACTTTTCATGTATTACATATCACGTGTAATATTGATAATGCGTGTTTTACGCGTTATTCACTGCTCGCACACGTTTTTTGCGAATGTAAAGCAAGTTTTTCACTAGAGTTTTCCCTATCACTAGGGTGAAATCCCATTCACTACTGTTCCCCGATGCCTGTTGTAATTTCATGGTGCGGTGCGGTAATGCTGTTTTGTTTCTGTAGATACGAGGGGATGTGATTCGACACGTCATCATCATCATCCTTATCATTCGGGAGGTTACGAGGTTCGATTCCTGGCAAGGGGAGTTTTCATGTAATTTTTGTCTTAGTTTGGCGGCGGCGGCGGCGGCGTTCAAGTTAGTACAGTAGAAGACCTCCACACGCCGATTGGGTCTCCCGGAGATTTCCGGTTCAGTGATGTTCCCAAGTCGAGCGAAGGAGAAGGAGGAGGAGGGTAGTGATTTGGTGGAGGAGTGCTTTCCTCAACTACTGAGCTCGTGAACTTCTCCACAGACGATTTAGGCGGGTAGAAATACACAAAAAATTATGGTAATTTCCCGAAATTTCCTCAGAATTTTAATTTTGTCACCAACACATGCAGTTGACCATGTGCATGTATTCCCCCCACGCTGTTAACATTAGTAGTAGTGTCTGAGTACTATCAACAACTGATGTAGTGCGTACGAGCTCGGAGGCTTTGCTGAGTGATATTATAAGAAGAAAGAGCTTGGGAAGAGGTTTTAATTGACGATTCAGACAAGCTTTTTTCAAAGTGAATAAATAACTCGCCTCCGATGGGAGTTACCTTCTGGGGTGATTCGAAAGGATGGCAGGTACCTACACACGTATCGAGATCTAGATTCTATCAAGCATGTGGGAATGTTACATCATATGCTGGATGAGTGCCATCACTTTTTGATGTCCCTTCTTGGGGATGAATTTGTTAGCGGAGCGAAGCTAAGTATGGGTTTCCATTATCCTGTCAGAACACAGTACTCAACACTGCATATGCAGGTAATAGTCATTGCTGCTGTTGTGATTGGGGACAGAGTTTGTGATACACGCATGCGTTAGAGCTGTCCGGTAGAGCTGGTAATGGTTGATAGTGTGGATGGTGGTGGGAGTTTACGTTTGTTAATAATATTTGGAATTGATTGAAAGTGGCTATGTATAGAATCGAACTTGGGTTGTGCGATTGGAAGCTGGCCGTTCTATCCATTATACTAAAAGGGATGTTGTTGTTGTTGATCAGATTAGAGTTAATTCTGGAGATGTAGTGAGTCGTGATGGTCGAGGAGTTGCAGCTCAACACGTCTTGGCGGTTTTGGAGCGGGACCCGATGCACTACGCTCGAGATGATAAGCCACTCAGGTTAGTGGGCAGAAGCAGCAGCAGCAGCAGGCGGCGGCGTTTAGGGATACAACACTCCTGGAGGGAGGAAGAGGAGTCTATCCCGACTTTGAATGGGATTTTCCGGAAAATTCATCCTCTGATTATGGTTTTGTGATTTGTATATTATATAGTGGATATTGTCTCCTTTTTCTTGGAATGGGCGATATAAGGTTCTCATTTTTGTTCGCGCCTTTATGGCATCGGTTGGCAGTGTATGATATCATCATGTTGAGGTCTAGGGATGTATACCTTGTCCATTGGTTAGATATGAAGTGACGGAGAATATCAAAATGAATCTCCTAGCTGCAGCGGAATTGGACTCGACTGGTGATGTGAGGGAGGAGCGGTCAGGAGGGGAGAATCGACGACACCGAGGTTACTGGTTCAACTGCATCGGATTGGGACAGTAAGATGACGTGAATAATCGTCCGTGAAATAGTCCTGATAGTCGGATTTTCTCCCCGCTGTTTCCCAGGTACGAGCTTCTACTAGGAGGTGCTGAGTGTAATGAGGGCGGCGAGTATGGGTTGGACGGCTCGTCAATTAACATTGACGGAGATTCATCATGGCAACAGCATGAAGAAGATGAGGAAAGGGTATCTGACAGGTAGGCATTGGCCGAATGAGCCTCTTGAAAGCTTCGGAACGGAATTTTCCGGTGAATCAAAAGCTCGCCGAAGTCGCATATCACTGAGAGTTATGTTGGGATTTTATAAAATTTTTCGCGGCCCTTTTCAGGCCAATGTCAACGATTGTCGAGGGTTCGGTTGATAGTCTCGCGGACTCCCTTCACCGAGTGGAACGATGAATATCTTTTTGCTCGAGGGAGGTGACTTTTCATCCCTAATATTTCTGTGAACACTCGTACTGGTTTGCATTTCTGAGCGTTCAGTTTGAGTAGAAAGATTCTGTATAGTTCTGCTTATCATCACTATAACATATTCCTATGTCGGTCTAAAGTTGGCAACATTGATGGTGTTCACGGCTTGCCTGCAGCCAACTGTTAGTCCGTCGATAATACTGTTTTCCATTGAGGCGGCCTCTGTGGTTGCTCTCATGCTGTGTGCAGTAGAATTATAAAGACACTGAAACTTTGAGTCTGGAAGTGTCTGTTCTTAGTCGTTCTATTGCTGTTGTCATCAAGCTTGCTATCGTATACTATGATCTATCATCTCTTGCGTTCGTTGGATTTTGTCAATGGATGATAAGGCCGCAGAATATTCTGAGCGAACTGAACGACCCAGTCGTTTGGAGTCGGAGTTTCAAAGTACATCAATCATTCTGGGCTTGAAAAGACACTTTACAACGTCACGAGCTCAAGTTGGGAGTATATCCGAGTTATTTGAAGGGATATCGATTGCACTGAAGATTCACCAAAACTGTTCATGAAGTACCCACATGGTGATAGATTAACAAAGGTTTATGAATGGTATAGTCCTCTGGCATATCGGCCCCATTCGGAAAATAGATTTCTGAATGGTATAGTCCTCTGGCATATCGGCCCCATTCGGAAAATAGATTTCTGAATGGTATAGTCCTCTGGCATATCGGCCCCATTCGGAAAATAGATTTCTGAATGGTTTAGTCCCCTGGCATATCGGCCCCATTCGAAAAGTAGATCTCTGAACGGTGTAGGGAATCCCGAAACCTCGTTAGAAGTTTGAAGAACACTCTCTCGTTAATGAGTATTTCTTCCAAGAATGTCATGGAAGGGCTTCTTCTTCGGACCGCCGCCCCCCCCGCCCCCGCCGCCAAGTTCGTCATCACCCATCTAGATCCACACATGAGCTCGACATGAGAGGAGAGCAACCTGCAGCCGAGAGGGTTACAGACGACAGGCGACGTGCTAGCTATATGTGGTAGGGATTCATTCAGTGTGAGCAACTGAGAATAGTTATCCTTGCACGATTGATCTTAGTTGCGCTTTTCAACCATCAGCTATGTCTTAACACAGTTCAACTGTCCACACCTGTGATAGTTGGACGCACGTGCAATATGTAAGTAGAGGGATTGGCTTGGAATCCCAACTTTGGATGCTGATGCTGGCGGTGCCAAAAATAATTCACTCCAGGTTTTGATCTCGTTACTTACCTCGCTAGATATCTTTTCTCCCCAGTAGTGGTTGGCACGGCCAACTTGGCCATGAACGATCATAGTGTCTACATTCGGGCTGAATTACTCGCGATGGGCACATCACAACTTGCCCTACAACATCTACACAAACGCTCAGTCTTCGAGGTGCGGCAACCCAGTTGCCAGAGATCATCAGTGTCTGTGTAATAACATAGTAATAATAGCGACACCTCAATGAGCCAACTATACTCGTTCTTGTCTGCTCACTTGAAAAAGCACTACTCGTTTCTTCCACTTAAAAATCCCGCTACTAGGGATCGAACCCGGGACCACCCTCTCCTCACCCGAGATGCAAGTCTGGACCCCTCTACCACTGCCATCATCAGCCTCCTCGTCATCTTCAATTTCAAATCTTCCCTTTATATCCCTACCACTTCATTTCAAAATCCATCCCATCTCCAACCTACCCCATCTCCTTCCTCCTAGCCTCAGCAAGAGCATCTTCAAGCACAGCAATTTGACTTCGCAACGACGCCACGACTGCTCTCAAGGACTCCATCTAAATCACCAACAAATACTCAACAGCAACGACGCATAACAGCGCACATCATATAGTCTCTTCCCGTAACGGTTGCGGCTAAGATTAAGCCGTGCAAAGGATGAGACTCGAGTAAAATCAGTATTGGAGGGACATATATTCGCCTTCCTCAGCTCACCTCAGCAGTTTCCTCCTTTTTTAAAGAGGTTTCCATACGAATTCGGGTACACGTGTACAAGAACTAATAGAAAATTCCCAAGAAATTTCCTCCCAGAATTTTCATATCATCACCAACCTGTGGTCGACCATGTGCATATTTTCCTGCGTAGAGCCGAATCAGATAACATCCATGTTAAAACATAACCCAACCAGCCGACCATGACAGAAATCACCAACATCATATATGGGCGGCGCCGCGCCGCGCCTTTCACAACTTGCGCATGTTCTCTGCAGTGTTGCCCTTTTCCAAGGTTATGGCTGCGTTAAAGCTTACACGCGCGAGGTACCACTACGACGATCTGGGCAGTCGCCTCCAACGGTGATCCTATCTGTCTTAACTTCTTTTTCCCCTATAGTTGATCTACTCGTGAACGGCGCGTGGGAAGTCCAGGCCGCACAAGCTTGTGCGGAATCCTGTTCATTCGTAGCGTTTTACGTGAAGTACGCGAGTTGATCGATGTTGGTAGAGCAGAAGGGACCCCGTAATGAGGGATACTTCTGGGACATCTTCTTACGGTACCATCAGGATGTGATTGGACTTCGAGTTGTAAACATCTACTGAGGACTAACTCATCATCTAATGCCAATGGCAGTGTTGGTTGTTCACCAGTGGCGATTGGCTTGATCAAGAAGATAATACAACGTGACTAAGGGCGGGCCGAATTCCATGAAAAGCGAGTATTTTATAATCCCGAGAGAACTCTCTTCCTCTGTTAGTCTTATCCTCTCTTTTGTGTTGGTGGAGCGACCCCCATCAACCTCATATCCCGTCCCTCTCAGTAAAGCAAATCGTCATGGTCCTGATCCTACCCTTTATTGGTATCTTCGCTCTGCTGGCTACCCAGTCTGATGCTAAGTATCCTCCACCCAACGGCAGGTACTTCAAGCAACTGCCTGACTCTGCAAGTGTGGCAGCCACTTTTAGAGATGCTCCGTCCTCGCCATACACGGTCACCCTGCGAATCACATGTACACAGACTCCGCTCGGATTTCAGACAGTGCCCCTAGACCTTGACTCTGGTAACAATGAATATAACATATCCAATGTGTGGGTCTACCATTCTTTCATGACAGTAGCAGCACAGAAGTGTCCGGACTTGCTGATTTATCATGACCTCCAGCGCTTTTTCTACAATGGTAAAGAGGATACGGTTGAAACAAAAGTGGAGGGCATATCTGTGACTCTGGTGAAGTCTCCAGCGTGAAGGCATGAGATGATCTCATTGAGACCCTCTCTAATGGGCATCACTCACTCAGGATATGTCATTTCTCTACCATCAGTGGTCGCCGACCACTGGTCGGTGTGTAATCCGTTTTTTGGTAATGGTCTACTGTATTATTTGTGGAGTATGATGAAGTGGATGAAGTATGATTCTTAAATATTCTTTCCATGAACAAACAATCGCAATATATCTATGCCTATGATCAGTCCTTTGTCCTCACCGGCATATCGTATCAACATTCTAAGAGTCGTTCTCTTAGTTACCTTCAGGAGGTGAAGGTTCAGGTCTCTCATTGTAAGTTGAAGCTGCACAGCGCTTGCTGTGGGGTCCTTGAGTTGTATGAAATGGGGAGTTAGCTGCGGTGATGATGTAACGCTGATGAGTATGCAAGCCGCATCAGAATCGCAACTCAACGATGAGTAGTATGAGCTAGAGCCAACTCCGACCGGTCAGCAGCCAATGATTGTTGTGACACGACAATGGCTGACCTGATCGTAAGGACGCTAAGATCCGTTAAAATCTTATTATTAAGTTCAGAGCCAGGAGATCGCCATTAGAGCACCTCAGCCCAAAGTCATTTATGCATCACACTACATCCGATTGTGCATCCCCGCACTGTAAGGGATCACCTTCGATAATGATGTGATGTGGCTTTCCTAACATTTAGACTCTCTTTCCCATTATTCCACAAACCGTTTAATAGTTGCCTCTCGTGTACCTCACCCTCAACGCAGCTTTCCATCATACAGTTTAATGAGCGTCACAATAGGCTATGCCTATCAAGCATGTTAGAGGAGTCACACGCTGAGGATGATAGCAGTGATTCACCAGCAGTGAATTCAAAATTATCTCCTTCGACGTCAGCGTTCGATTGCTTCATGGCGGCGAACCGATGATCATGCATTGGAAATTCCAATTTGGAATGAACAGACTCTCGAATGATCATAATCTAGCAATTGGAGTAAAGTTCCTAACGTTCTTACGCCTTATCCTGGCCTACAGTAAGGAGTCTTGTGAAACAACTTTGACCTAAGAATGCGTCCTTACCGGTAAAATTGCTCAGACAAGGCACCCTATGAAATAGACCCCTGAAGATGTGTTCGTTTCCACTATGACTCAACCCATCAATGCATTGACCCTCAACATTAATACGCGACCCCACCATGCATCTCTCACTGTGAATCACCATTAATGAGATGCCCCAGCTTGGCATACAACTTCTCGAGCTCCTGCGTTGCACCTGGAAGTCTATAATTTACATAATCTACACAAACGCTCAGTCTTCGAGTTTCCGGATTGTATCACCACAGTAACGATCCCACCTTCCAGAGCCACATCCTCTTTCCTCTCGCTCTTGTCTATGTTGTCGATCAGCACCGCCGGATTCACTCTACCTGAAACTCCTATCGTATTACACTACGTTGCATCGATGACCGACCTTCATTTCCTTCCTCCTGTACAAGCGACGATGTAGCAGTGCTTATATCGTCAACATCCATCATGCCAGGCTCGACCAAATGCAGCTGAACGGCTATTAATGGCTTCTTATGTTCGTGTTGAGATCTCCTTTGTAAGAACGATTTGGGCTGGTCTGAGAGGACACGAGTGAAGTTGATATCCCAACACTACGTGATGATCACCTTTCTGAATCACCTGTGGCTTGGTCATGCTCGGGTGTCTGAAAGAATGATCTCTGCTGCCAAGCCGTTAATGGACCATCAAGGCAATCCTAGCATTCATCGAACCATAATAGACTTACCCGATCCCTGTCACCAGTACTATGCAAACAAACTGGACGAATGATGTGCGGAAGATTTGGAACATAGTGTTATCAAAGTAATAGCTGATGAGAAAAGATTTCAGAAGAGGCTTTACTACTACAACAACAACTACAGTGAATTATACAATACTGCAGTATTAGTCTGTCATCATGATCATTATTCTGTTAACATCCCATACATTAGGAGAAATAACTCGAGACTCGGAAGTCCATGTTTCTCTCGCGAGGGTGTATTTCACTATGGATGCTCACTTGCAGTAACACTGTGTTTGAATATCATCAGATGATCCCAGCCACTTCAAATTGACGAACCAAATTCCACTGAGCTCGCACAGTTAAGCATGTGAACATCATAACAAAATGGTCAAACCGGACAACGCATAGCAATCATGAATAACTTGGCAACGACCATATCGTCCAAAAGGACCCATCATGCTGTCATCAAATCCCCGTCGCGGAGAGGTTCATGCCCAAGTTCGACATCTGTCTCGTTATAATGCGACGCCAAACCATCGGACGTGCCATCTGAGCTGCGAGTGGAATCGCATTCAGTTCATAGCTCCTCGGTAAGCCTTGACCTGAGGAAACTTCAAACTCCGCAACACGCAGCTCGAATAATTCTCCTCACCGGGGCAACTACTTCCAGGTCGGCTTCTTCCCATCGTTCGTGGCCTTTCTAGTCGCCTCCTGGGAAAATTATCGTTTTACGAAGAGTCAGAATCACAAGGGAGTCTCGAAACTCTGCAAATTAAATTCCTTGTTAACAGCAACATCGTTCGAAATTTCATCCCTAAACACTAGTGTGACTTGAAACGTGAACAATGCCAACCGAGATGACCCCATGGTCGCAAATCAAGTTGCGTCATACTGCTGACCTACACCGTCAGTAGCTCTCATATTAATACATCAGTGTTGGAGTATATGTTTTTCCCTCGGGAGTTTCCTCACCAATAATATAGTTTAACATACGGATTCGGGTCGAAGTGTACAAAAAGCAACAAGAATTTCCATATTGTCGCCAACACAAATAGTCGATCATGTGCATATTTTCCTACACTGATCTCAACCTGGATGCCTCCCATAATAGAAGGTCTAATGGCGTCTCCTATCTACTGCTAAGGTATAACATCCCTTGCTTTCATATTGATTACAGTACGTGTGGTTATTGAGTTACAGTTCATTCCAGTTTGAATGAAATTACTATGGTCGGCCAATACCCACCTAGATGCAGCAGTAGCCAATCGACTGCTCCCTGCAGTCGATCTTCCATTTTTCACATCATCGCACTGCAAAGAGTTCCTCCATAAAATACAAACTGGCTTATACCCACTTTCCTCCCTGCATATGGCGTCTTCAACACGCCTGGTCCCGTCGTTCGACACCACGAAGAATGTATTTCTAAAAGTTCCCAAGTGACCATATCTTCCAAACAACTTAGTTCACCCGCGGGCAAATGCACAGACGAGCACGTATCTCTATTCTGCAATCCGGTACTCGCAGGAGTCATCTTCGGGATCTCTCTGTTTTCACCTTCTCCTCTCCGACTTGCTTTTTCTGAGCTCGTAACTAATCCCAAAATACCATCATTATCGTCGTCATCATCATCCAGTAGAATTACTTCTTCTCATGACAGTACCGCTAGTCTGCGGTCGTACGCCCTCGCGCAAGGCCCCTGAACTTTCTTGATTGGTCCTTTTTTCTCTATTATCAATTCTTCCTCTCGCTCCACTTTGCGCCGTGCCTAAGACCGGCTCTCACCACATGTTGGTGATAGTCAACTATCTCACTTGATAGCAGTGTTCGATCTGATACAGTCGGATATGAAACGTCTTGTTTCGAGGTAGATTGTACAGGAGGGAACCGCACTGTAGACTGAGATCAAAATCGATCACGCGATCGATTTGGCTATCACCACTCACATCAGCAGGTGGTGTGTATTCTTCTGGGAGGAACCCCACTGACTGAGCTTTGTTGTAGAATCGACGAGCTGAAGTTCGTTTGAATTTCCCAATCCTTACGCTCCACTGACGACTCTTACGTGAATACTTATGCGAAGAGGGATACGCATCATCCTGGGAGTTGTTCCCATGTTGTGTGAATGTTATTGCCGATCGAATTGGAATATAAAGTCTTCGACCAGGTCGGAAATCAAGTTCGACTAGAGGGCATACAGATCCTAAGATATCCCGAGGTTATCATGGTAAGATACAAAACATGTCCACACCAGCTTTCATCAGATCAGCATGAAGACTCTTCAAGTTGTTCCTCATACTGGCCTCGACACGCAGCAGTGCTACAAGGGACGTCGCCTAATAATCATTAGTGTTGTTAGAGGAATAGACCAGATACCCATCCTCACCTCCATCACTCTCGACGCTGAACTCATCCCTTTTCCAAACAGAACCTTACTGCCCTCCTTCGACACGTAATCAGGGTACGATGATTCCTACCAAAACTAGGCTATCAAGTTGATAACATCTTGACAGTAGTAGTATCAATGACAACAACGAGTTGATAGCATCAAGTGTACGAGGTCCAAGCATAATAATAGTCTCACCTGTAGCATGGTCACTATCGCAACTACTCTCAACAGTTCGCTACGAACAAGTCCGAAGACCAACTCTCTCACTTCCTCAAGTCGCCTTAGTCGATCAAGAACACCTAAAAAGGACCCTACCACATCATCCAAACACGAACCATCAACCTAATACTTTTAACAAGTCTTGTGAATCTATGAACTCTCGTCGTGCCATCACCGTAACCATACGGAGGTTTCCTTGCAGCATTCAGAACATCCATATACCCCTCCCACACCGTCCTCGCTAACAGGTCCAACTCCTACATGATGCACTACTACATGATGAGGAATCATATATATTCAACTACTATTAATTATCTATATGATAGTTTGTATTATCGACATTTGTCGAGCCCATGGTAAAAGGCAGTACGAAAATCATCCAGAATGGATCTTCCGATCATCACTGCAGTTGATCTAATGTGTATATACATCTAAGATTAATATTTACTATAACTTGTATCATATCATCCACTACATCTGTTTACCTATTTTCTTGGAATGCCACCCTGGCGAAAATTATAGCACGTATATGTTTCCGCGACCAATAACACAATTATTCTCCACCAAGTGAAAAGTGAAATATGTTCCCACAAGCCTTTTCCATATCATGAGTAAAACTTCATTATTTTTTATCATCTATCAATACATGATTTTATTATTCCTTCAAAAATCATTGTATTCACCATTAATATTATTCAATTACAATTACTCCCCGCTTACATCGAGTTCGATCTTAAAACCATCAACCGGATCATCCGGTTCGCTTCGAGGGGTCCAAGCCATGAAGAAACCAGCGTTATCAGATATACCGGAGGGGAAAATGCCGCCACCAGGGATCGAACCTGGGACCACCCTCTCCTCACCCGAAATGCAAGTTTGGACACCTCTACCACTGCCATCATCAGCCTCCTCGTCATCTTCAATTTCAAATCTTCCCTTTATATCCCTACCACTTCATTTCCAAATCCATCCCATCTCCAACCTACCCCATCTCCTTCCTCCTAGCCTCAGCAAGAGCATCTTCGAGCACAGCAATTTGACTTCGCAACGACGCCACGACTGCTCTCAAGGACTCCATCTAAATCATCAACAAATACTCAACACAGATGGAGGCAAATTGTAATGATTGCGTAATGAGACTGTGTCTCATTTTGTGTATTTATATACCCAATATCCCACCGAAAACTAGCGCTGCTCTATTATGAAATTAAATTGGAGACTTACGGGTGTGGTAAAATATGCACATCGTCAACCCAGATGTGGTATAAGCCTTATTTCCAATGTTGTGTCAAAACAGTATGAATGCTAAGTTGGAGGAGTAGATGAGAAACGGTGGAAAAGTTGGGCAAACCAGCGGATGATGATGACCCTGACAGGAATCACCTCAGTCTGCATTATCTTCTCTCTCCTCAACGCCTTAGCTCGCGCTTCTGAAAACCACACCGCGTAAAACACTACAGCACTCCGGAGAGAACAATACTAGAGAAAACAATAAGGATTCCAAGTATTAGCATCAGCATCACATTTTGCCATAACCTAGGGTAGTGGTAACTAGAATGGAGGGGTCAGCGAGCTTCCTCAGAGACTTCTCATCTAACAGGTCCAGGAGCTTAGCCTCGTTCTGAGCCACCTCTTGCAGGAACTCCTCAAGAAAAAGAAAACGATTCTTTAATGGTTTCTCGGATGATACACCATGTGTTAGACTGTGGTCCTCGTCAGATTTGACGCGCATGTAGAGTTGTGTTGGTTGAAAAAGGTAGTTCGTAAAAAAGCCGAACTTACGGCTATCACCCGTCACGTGACGTGGTGACGTGACGTACAGTATTTATGGAGCGTCTCTTGCGTGGGTCACGAAGCGGCTGTCACGCCGCAGGAAGCGGGCACAGCTCGCTCAATACTGGTTGTATGAAACAGCTCGCAGCCTCAGGCTGAAATGGATAAGATAAGAAGCCTTATTATCTAATATGACTATCCTCAGTATTGTTGAGTCAATCAGTGCGGGTGTTACTACTAACAGGAATCTCGTTCATTAGTAGCGTTTCACGTGAAATACGCGAGTTGATCGATGTTGGTCGAGCAGAAGGATCCCGTGATGAGGGAGACTTCTGGGATTTTTTCTTACGGTACTATCAGGATGTGGTTGGACTTCGAGTTGTCGACATCTTCTGAGGAATAACTCACCATCTAGCATCAATGTCAGTGTCGGTTGTTCACCAATGGCGATTGGCTTGATCAAGGAAATGCTACAACATGACTAAGGACGGGCCAAATTCTATGAATAGCGAGTATTCTGTAATCACGAGAGAACTTTCTTCCTCTGTTAGTCTTATCTTCTCTTTTGTGTTGGTGGAGCGACCCCCATCGACCTCATATCCCGTCCCCTTCAGTAAACCAAATCGTCATGGTCCTGATCCTACCCTATATTGGTATCTTCGCTCTGCTGGCTACCCAGTCTGATGCTAAGTATCCTCCACCCAACGGCAGGTACTTCAAGCAACTGCCGGACTCTGCAACTGTGGCAGCAACTTTTGAAGATGATCCGTCCTTGACATACACGGTCACCCTGCGAATCACATGTACACAGACTCCGCTCGGAGCTGAGTCACGGCCCCTAGCCCTCGAGTCTTCTAACTATGAATATAGAATAGCCCGACTCGATATGGGGGTCTTCTATGCATTCTGCATAAGAGCAGCAGAGAAGTGCCCGAACTTGTTGACTGAGCAAGACCTCGAGCGCTTCGTCTACCATGGCAAAGAGGATACGGTTGAAGCAAAAGTGAAGGGCAAATTTGTGACTCTGGTGAAGTCTCCAGCGTGAAGGCATGAGATCCCTTCCGAGTGGACATCACTCATTCAAAATATGTCATTTTTCTACCATCAGCGATTGGTGGGTAATCCGATTCTTAATAATGGTCTACTGTATTATTTGTGGAGTATGATGAGGTGGATGAAGTATGATTCTTAAATATTCTTTCCATGAAAAAACAAGAGCAATCTATCTATGTCTATGATCAGTCCTTTGTCCTCATCGGCATATCGTATCAACATTCTAAGAGTCGTTCTCTCCGTTACCTTCAGGAGGTGAGGGTTCAGGTCTCTCATTGTAAGTTGAAGCTGCACAGCGCCTGCTGTGGGGTCCTTGAGTTGTATGAAATGGGGAGTTAGCTGCGGTGATGATGTAACGCTGATGAGTATGCAAGCCGCCTAAGAATCGCAATTCAACGATGAGTAATATGAGTCTGAGTGCCAATTCATACCGTCGGTATGATACCGATTAGCGCGGCTGATTCCTCATTATTGTTGTGACACGACAATGACTGAGCTGCCGATCATAAGGACATTACGATACATGGGAAGCTTATTATTAACGATATGTTCAGAGTCAGGAGAGGTACTTTAGAGCACCTCAGCCCAAGCTCATCTATGCATCACACTACATTCGATTGTGCATCCCCGCACTGTAAGGGATCACCTTCGATGATGATGATGTGATGTGGCTTTCCTAACATTTTGACTCTCTTACCCATTATCCCACAAACCGTTTAATAGTTGCCACTCGTGTACCTCACCTTCAACGCAGCTTCCCATCATACCGTTTAGTGAACGTCACAATAGGCTATGCCTATCAAGCATGTTAGAGGAGTCACACGCTGAGGATGATAGCAGTGATTCACCAGCAGTGAATTCAAAATTATCTCCTTCGACGTCAGCGTTCGATTGCTTTACGCATTGGAATGAACATACTCTCGAACAATCATACTCTACCAATTAGCGTAAAGTTCCCAACGTCCTTAGCCCTTATCCTGGCGTACAGTGAAGAGTCTTGTGGAACAACTTCGACCGAATGATGCGTCCTTACCGACCATCCCACAGTCATAATCGGTATGTTTAAGAACCAGTAGAATGCTGAGCTCAAACTAGCGGGAACCTTTTTCTTCGATATCTTTCTGGATGCGGACCATTACCGGATTAACCCTCGGAAACTATATCTGTATTCAGGTGTCATCTGATTCAAACGATGACCACTTCTCTCGATGTCGGCGTTCATTACATTCATATGGCGATTCTGGACAATCGTTGGCTTTCGTGGAACCTATCTTTTCATAATTTATTCAGATCCACCCGTGCCCGTGTGGGTCTCTGGTGGTTCATTCTCCTTGAATAAACTAACAGAAGAATCCGAAACCGGAAGGTCAACGAGTAAGCACCAGAAACCCGGAGGTCCTGGAGTCAACACCCGATACCCGAAAACCCGAAGGCAAATAGGTATGATACGTTCGAAAACCGGCAACTTGAAAATGTAACAGATGTCGGATGTGACAATGAAACTGACAATGTCAAAGGTAAATGCATCATTGATATTTAAATCGTAGTCTATTAATTATAGATGCACCCGCTCCAGAGAGCTTTAGCGATCGGAGATCACTTTATGGGCATTCATGAGTCAGGCATCCATCCTTTCCATTATCAGGATCTATACCAGCGACAGTCTGAACCCACAAGGAGCCAGACTGGCGTTGGCGTCTACCGCGATAGCACTTGCGCCGGCCGGAAGCGGTCACATCTGACTGAACGTAGCCGTAGGAGTGTGATGAGGATTGTGTTAATGGGCGAGCGAACATAAATTAAGATATCATTGATGATTCGTTGTCGTTCATAGTTAGAGCACTGCGACTCATGGCCCATGCACGACTGCCCCCTTGTTAGTTAGAGTTTATTTGCGCCAACTGGCTCATTGGGTTCAAGTGTTACATCATGGCGACACCTTCCGAACTTCGTGTGAACGAGCCCACCGACGGCGATATCCATCAGGCAGCAGGAGAGTGTGACGAAGCACGGGGCCAAGTGCTGGAACAATTTAGACCATCATTCATAGAGTCGGCTGGAGCATTCAATACTCCTAATTCATTAGCCAGTGAATTGAAGAAGGCGAGGATCTATAAGGGCCGAGTTCGTGGCCAGTTGAGGCGCCTTGAAGAACAAGCTGGTAACATCATCATCAACAACGAGGAGGACGAGGCGCTGGTTGCTCAGCTAGGCGAACAAGAAGAACAGCTTCGAAGGGTGCTTGACGAAGCTGGTGCCTACGTCGTCGCGCTCGAAATGAGGTATGACGAGATCAATGAACAAAATTCTCGCCGGATGGCGGGCTCTCGCGTGTTCAACTCGGCCGGGTCAATTAGATCCAGTTATCTGCAGTCGAACATTGGTGCTGAAGAGGATTACCGACCATTACCTCGGGATCGAG